TAAGATATTTAAATTTTATATTATATGAAATGATTTATATATATATATTGATTATTTAAATTACAAAAATGAAATCTTTTAACGATTAATGTGAAAACATTTTAATATAAAATAAGAATGAGAAAATAAAAGATGAATATGAAAGATGGTTTTTCATTAAACTTGGTTTCTCAAGATTCCATGAGGAATAGTTGTTGTCAACCAAACTCTAAAACAATTGCTAAAAACATATTGTTGGTTCTATTGGAAAAAAAAACTTAAGAAAAATGTAGAAGACATTAGTTTAAAAAAAAACCTCTAAAATCCTAACAAAATTAAAAAGAGTTGCATACTCGGATTAATCTTCTCGAAATAAACCTAAAAAAATATAACCATTAAAAAAGGACATGTTGAAGTTTGGTGATGCTACATGAAAAATTGTAACAAAAAAACTTCAAAAATCTCAATAAAAGTCATAAGGAATGCATACACACATTAGTTTTCTCAAAGTGTACTTGAAAAAAAAATAACCATTACAAAAATATGTTGAAATTTGTTAAGGCTACATCATGGTTTGTAATACTTTCAAGATTCTATCATCAGACGATTAATCGAACCATTGTTGCCATCAAAACTATAAAAGTGTTGTCATATCAAAAAAATAAAAAAGAAAGCATACCTGAATTAGTCTTCTCGAAATAAACTTGAAAATAGATTTGTTGAAAAATAACAATTTATGAAATGAAAAACAAATCAAGTGATGGAGATGGAGAAAAATGAAATGAAAAACAAATCAAGTGATGGAGATCGAGAAAAAGAGATTGAATGATGAATAATTTATGAAGAAGAGTTAGGGAAAATGAAAAGATTGTGTTAAATGCAAATATAAATGAATAATTAATGTTTATAGAAATTAGAATGTAAAATTAAAAAAAAAAGATTAAAGGAGAATCAATGAAAAAAAAGATAAATAAGTTTCCAACCTTTAGGAGAAGCCAAGTCATCAACCTTGGTTTCTCCTTTAATATATATATAGATTCATAACCTTTCCACCTTTTTACACACAAACCCACCACAAAACAAGTTGCAAACCAAATGGGTAATAACTAAACATGCCCAATAACAATTCACATTGCTAAAACGGAACCCATTGCAACGAAAAAAGGAGAGTTGATAAAAGCTACGCAAAATTTGGAGGTAAGAAGTTCAACATTAACAGAGGGTTTGTTTGTACATGGGCTGAACGCATCAAGAATAAGTAACTGACCCGGAGAGGGCGACGGCTGTTGGAGAGGGCGACGACGGCGATAGGCAGCTGCTGTCGGAGACGATTGAAGGAAGATGGAGAGGCAGAGGTAGGCGACGTGAAGTGAAGGCATGATGCATTTTAATTTCTTTTAATCATAATGATGAGTTGTAAAAATAATTTCCATGTAATATTTATTTAAATAATTTTTTTGCCAAGTCATATTAAATTACCTGTTACCTATTTAACAGGTTAATCAGACCCTTAAATAAACAAAAAGTTTGATAAAGACCCCTAAATGATAATTTTGAAAGTTGATTCCCCAAAATAGAAATAAGGTGAAAGTTTGTTCCATTTTGATGCAATTTTCCCAAGCTTTTAAGACTTTTAAGTACAAAACAATACCTTCTCTAAAGGTCATTTTTCTTGTAGTGAAAGAGCCCAATGCCCTGAAAAAGACCAATCCGCAAAGCAATTTTAACACCCACACTGCAGTGGTTGCCACCCTCGTGTCGAGTTGTGTCAACACAATTAAGAGGATGCATTCTCAAAACTTCAATCGAAATAAAATCTAACAACGCAATTTACGTTCGAATCGACAAGTTCTAGATACACGTTTTACGAACTAATGAACTTGCCGCTTTCAAAAATACATAGTCTTACAGCATGCGGGTCCCATGAAACCGTATTTCACGACATTTGTGGTTCCAATATTGAGACTCAGCACGAGTTACGTATGTAATACACCCTGTGTCCGTATTCTACATCTCCTACCTGGACTCGAAACATTTCTATATGCACACAATGTTTACTTGTGGGTGTGTATATATATGTATACCATGATCATCTCTCCGATGAAACGTCCGCCAATTTTTCCAACAGAGAGACGACATCAGCCGATGAACTTAAGAGATACCTGGCACTCGACCGCTTTCTTTTGACCGCACACGAAAAGTAATTGTTACTATTGAGGTCGAGTATCGACGGTGTCGTATCTTTCCCGTTACCATTCTCGTTGCAGGCATCGTTACCATCCGAAGCCGAAAATGGATGAGATTTTTTACCGCGTGGTCCTGAGAATCCGTTTCTTCCTACAGAATGATCTGTAGATGATCCATTAACCGGACTCGATAAACTTGATCTGACCGGTGTTTGTGGCTCCGGCTCAAAAAATGTATAAACATCTTCATCCTAAACCAGTAATAACATGTAAAGATAACAAACCGCATGTATACAACAATCATAAACCAAACAAGCCGAGTATATTCCACCTCAAGGTGGGGTGTGGGGTGGAATATGAGCAGACCTCTACCCAAAGAGTAAATTGGTGAGTAAATTGGTTATTTCTATGAAGAACCCCCGAAAAATGTATGATGCATACAATATTTGTAAAGAACATAAAGGTTCACATTCATATACCTTTGGAAGGAAATGTCCTACACACAGGACGTAGTCAATCGGCTCCTTCAAATCTTTGTAATGTATGACTTGTCCTAAAATACGTTTAATTCCTGCACCCTAAATTTCGACAAAATGGGACCGTAAAAAACATGGCTCGTGAGTCGCGTCATAAAGAAACGAGCACAAGGAAAAAGGACGAACCTTGGTGACTCCAACGGCACGAACCTCAACGGACCTGCCACCTTGAACCACTTCTACCGATGCGTTTGATATCGGTCCGGTCCATAGGTGCTGCAACATGTCCTTGGCTTGAAGCTTCCCAAACTCGACATCTAGTGTCCGTAGTGTCATTATAATGTAAACATTAGGTTGATCTAAAGATATGAAGCACTGTGTGGGGATATCGTTTAGAAACTGTAAATTTTTTGGGAACCGGAAAACTAAATATTCATAATGAATATACACTACAAAAAATCAGGTTTATAAGATGCCAGGAACTTCTTAATGTTCTAAATAGTTTTATAGGATTTAAGTTTTTAGGACCAAACATTTGTACGTCCTTTTTAAAAGTGCTACAAGAAGTTTATACGGCTTTTTTTTGAGTGTTTTAACAAGTTTTTAGGACACTTTTAAATTAAAGTGTCATATTAGCTCTTTTATAGGACACTTTTGATATTTGTCTTATGAACGCATCTTTTTATAGAACATTTGTTTATATAAGAAATTGAAATATTCAAAATTGTCCTAAAAAACTTGTTAAGAAACCCAGAAACATCTTATAAACTTAATTTTAACACTTTACATAGGATGTACAAGTGTTTTGTCTTATAAAACGATCTACTAAGACACTTACAAATTTCTGGTGTCATATAAACCCGATTTTATTGTAGTGATGCATGAATATTCATAATGAATATCATGAACCATCATCATGAATAATCATGATGACAAATCATGAATATTCATAATGAATATCATGAATCGTTCATAATGAATATCATGAACCATCATCATGAATAATCATGATGACGAATCAATGAATATTCATAATGAATATCATGAATCATCATCATGAATAATAATGATGACGAATATCATGGAAATTCATTATATTTCATCATAAATATACATGATATTCATTGTGAATATTTACTTCTCACGGTTCTCAAAATATTTACTGTTTTCAAATGAACTTGCCCCTAAATATAAAGTGGGCACAGCGGCAACCTGCATGCTTATAATTCCAAACCAATGACGTCTCACGAAGCTCAAAGTGCGACCTTGGTGTTCTCTCGGTGAAATACTCAAAGACATGCTGAAACCAACATCGAATTTAAACAAGTTAACTGAAGATTGAACCCGTGAAAACACTTATTGATTTATGCACCTTCACACTATCGACCCAATCCATATGTATTTCTGGCAAGTTTCTGATCCATTTCTTATTGGGTGTTCTTAAGAACACACCATGTTCTGCAGCCAACCATATATTGAATTCTCCCAAGTTCTGCAGACTCTCACCAAGTCAGCAAGATTTCATTTGCTCATGATGTAAAAGTCGAGTGGCGGAGAAATCACACAACCTTATCAAGGATCGAATGGTGGCTTCCGCTAAGGACAACCACCGTGGTCTTTGGATCATCACACAGCTTTCTTAAAGATTCTTTTACGTCCGGGTGCAGTTTGGGCTCCATTTCTTTGAACTGATCAACCCTTCTACCAGAATCCACGGGTTCGGTTAGTGTTGCATTAAACCCCTGTGAAGTTAAGTTATAATGGGCTTGAATGATGATGTTCAGAACAGCTGAAATTATAGAAACAACCAAAAATGATATAATAAAAAAGGAAAAAACATGTGCTACTTTTCAGTATGTATACAATCGTTGAAGCTTAGGAGGCTATTCGTCATAAAACTCATAAGCACTAGTTTGGACCGAATAGAAGCCTTAAAGACACACATAGGCTTTAATTAACTATCCTACATGTGGATTTTTTTCAGGTTAAAGAGTTGCTATGAAACAATCAGGAGATTCTTTGCTATTGGGTGATGGTCCCGCTTATGGAGTCAAATGAATACACTCTAAAAAGAAATATTTGAATATCAATTTCATCGCTCTTATAAGTATCATACAAAATCCCATCAACCAAATCACGTTTTTTGAGAAATACAAGGCATCTAAGTCATACAAGTAAAGATATTCAAGTTCAGGTATTATATGTAACTATTTACTCGCATACGCTGTTTGTTTTGAATCAGTGCTATCATCATTTTTGTTATAGATTTAATTTCCGCCTTTTGATTAAATTTTAGTATATCATGTCTGCCTATCCTGTCTCTAGTTCTTCCTTTTCATAGTATTCCCTCCTTTTTATATATTTCCACATACTTTTGGGGTTAAATTTCTCTCTTTCACATATTTTTCACATGTTGGGGGTCTTCAAGAAAAGAGCCACTCTTTTATTCGGGATCAAGGTCAGGTTGGCATATGTCTTCTTCCCTCCCCCGGGGTACGGGCCAGACCCCACTTTCAGGTGGGATATACTGGTTTTTGTTATAACCCGGTTTCAGACAATCTGGGTTAAGGTAAAATTATACGTGATTAATATTTGAATATCTAAATGGTATGCATGATAAAATAATATACATGGATGATATATGTGCAAAGACATGATGAATGTAAGAGGATGCATGCATATGTTATGTATGTGTATACATGTGATAAATTG